ATCTTGGCCCAGGTCTACCAGGCTACCTTCCAAGGCATGGTCTCCCTATGGTTATTCAGAGATATCATTTTCCTTTAGACAGATGCCATTTTCTTTTATAAACCTTCTAAATTCCTAGAACAAGAATATACCTTTTAATTAATAGCTGTTATAGGATGAACTGTGTTCCGCCCAAATTCATAAGTTGAATCCCTAACCCCCAGTACCTCAGAATGTGACTGTATTTGGAGATAAAGCCTAGAAGGAGATAATCAAAGTTAAATGAGGTCATATGGGTGGGGTCCAAATCCAATAGGACTGGTGTCCTTATAAGAAGAGGAAAAGACACATGGATTTGCACACACAGAGGAAAAGCCATGTGAGGACACAGCAAGAAGGTGGCCATCCTCATGAGAGGCCTCAGCAGACATCAACTCTTCCAACATCTTGATCTTGGACTTCCAGCCTCCAGAGACGCGAGAAAATAAATTTTTGTTTTTTGAGCCACCCCAGCTAGTGGTATTTTGTTATGGAAGCCCTAGTATAATAGTAATTGGTTATTCATTAGCTATGGATTATCCAAAGGGATTTTCTTCTGCATTATTAAGAAGAAAATTCTGTTTCTTAGTAACACACACATTCTTTCCTTTTGGGTCAATTTTCCTTAATACTGTATAGTTATGGACACCTGCCTGATAGGGCCAGATGGAGTTCAACTTCCCAGCATTGTGGAGGGGAATGTTCTAAGGGTCTGTTATCTCTCTAGTTTTGACACAGTATCTCATCTGTTCCTCTCAGTAGCCTTGAGTGTAGGGTAGGAATTATTGTCATCTTTTCATAAATGAGGAAACAGATTCAACTGAGTGATCGACCCAGGACTGAACTCACAACCAATTCTTTCAATCCCACTCTCTCTGCTGTTTCTCTCACGTTCCACTCTTTTTTTCCCCTTTTTCCTTAGCATTATAATATTTCCAAGTTTGGGGTGTTTTTACATTTCAAAATTTGCTTTGTTATTTTTGAATCTAGAATCTTATTTTTCTGAAATTCTATTGGATTTTTTTCTGTTTCTCTTCATTTTAGACGTTGGTATTGTCCTTGTGGTCGATTTCTTAGAAGTCACTCTACGCTATTCTTCACTCTGCCATTTTATGACCTATCCCAAGTGGGATTTTTTTATTCAGTTAGTTTCCTTGAGAAACCCAGGCGACACCTAGAAGACCTTTTATGAAATCCCTTCTCTTAACCCCTTCCCTGTACCAGTGGATTCTGAATTCTGCCGGAAACTGAATACCTGTGGAAGGCAAAAGTAAAGGTCTTTTGACATCTTTACCCTTTAGATTAATTACATGACTGTCTTTGGACTTTATAGTATATGATGGGGAGTTTGTTTTACGGGAGGCATTAAATCCCTATGTTAGAAGTCTTCAAAGAGAAAACAGAAACACAGTCTTTAAGGGGTTGGACAAGGGCAGCAGATTCTGTGTTGTCCCCAGTGGACACTTGGAACTGGGTACTCATGGTCACGACCACCCATCGGCATGAGCTGGCCAAGTAGGAGACACCTGTAGGGACTCTGCACTCAGCAAGTTCAGGAGGAGAAAAGGGCAGAGCCACAACTAATAGCAGGGCTGAAGCAAGGAAAACCAAGCCTTCAGCACTAGACTACAATATTTCCCTGGGAAGGTTATCTGAGGCTTTCTAGAGACAAGGGCTACTTTGCCCTTGTTAAACCACCCCTGATGTGGACGCCCAGCAGGACCATCAGGAGGGGTGTGATCCAGGGGTAGGGCACAGAGTCTGGGGACAAATATCCCCCATCTGATGCCGCCACTGATGTCCTGGGTGCCTTAAACTACTTCAATGGATTCTTCTGTGTAAAACATGGGGATAACGATGCCTCCTCATAGAGAGGAATAGACGTGCTAATGACTTAATTCCAGAACATTTTGAGGATCACCAATGTTGATCTAAAGTTGCACAGCAAAGGGGAGGCGGGGATGAAGTGAGAGAGTGGCATGGACATATGTACACTACCAAACGTAAAATAGCTAGCTAGTGGGAAGCAGCCTCATAGCACAGGGAGATCAGCTCGGTGCTCTGTGACCACCTGGGAGGGAGACACAAGAGGGAAAGGATATGGGGACATATGTATACATACAGCTGATTCACTTGGCTGTACAGCAGAAACACAGCATTGTGAAGCAATTATACTCCAATAAAGATGTAATAAATAAATAAATAAATAAAGTTGCACAGTATATGCTTTGTCTCTGGCATATCAAAAGGTACCATAAGTGATAACAATAGTAACAGTAGATACTGATTATTAGACGCTAACAGTGCCAGACACCATACTAGGTGCCGTTGTATTCACACGGTATTTTATTTACCCCCATATAACCTCTGAGGTAAGTACTATCGCTATCCAATTTTACAGAGGAAGAAACTGAGCCTTAGAAAGGTCATGAAACTTGCCCAATGTCACTCACTGAATAGGTGGCAGAATTGGAATTCGAACCTAAGTCAATCAGAACACCAAAAAACTTATGCTTTTAACCAAAGCATCTATATTTCTATGAGAACTGGATTTTCAAGAGCTTCTCAATTTCATACCTTCTGACCAGTTGTCCCATAAACTATTTAACTGTCCCCGAAACGGACATCTAAACTGCAACCTGGCATCTGAACTGCATTTCCCAAACTGTTCCTCACACTGAAAGTAACGTAACATAAAAATCCTCCGTAAGACCACAAGTCCTGAGTCTTGGTGTGAAATATGTGGGCACCACAATTTAAGCAGATTACCAAATTTTAGAGAATTAGAGAGGAAGAAAGCACACTCAACACAAAGTGTTCAGAGCATCATGTACTCTTCTGTGATTTAGAAGGCACTGATGGATCTTGTGGTGTCTGGAAGTCACCCTTATGAATTTCTATCCTCATATTATTGAAGTGCAGAAATGCAGATTTCCAGCAAGTTTCAACAGATAGAAATCTGGATGAAAGGAACTCACTGTGCTGACATTAATTATTTAAGCGGTGCTTTCTTGAGGGACTACCATGGCTTGCAAAAGGGGCTCCATAAACTGTTTTCTTATATTATGAATATTTATAATGTTATGCTGTCGATATTTCAAAAGTGGGCTTTAATTAGAAACCTCGTTATGCTACGCCTTTTGGCTTTGCTGTCATTGTTTAGTTTTGTTTGTTGAGCATCAGAAGATGGGGGTGTCAGGGCCACAGTAGAGAGAGGACTCTAGAAATTCACCGTCAGCTAAGTTTTTTCAATTCCCAAATATGGTCCATGATCTAAAAGATTTAAGAACCACTGACTCAAGATCATTTTTATTCTAGTACCCAAATATCCTCTCGCAGTGATAACTGTATCAGTCTAAGGAGTTGTTTATACCAGACATATTCAAATCACATAATTTGCCCAAAACTGGGAGTAGGATGGGAAAGAGGGGAAGGGAAGGGCAGCAGAAACTTGAAAACATCTTTGTAGGCATCATTCTAAGCACATTTTCCCTCTGGTTCTAACATCCCCATATTTTGTTTAGAGCATCTTCTGTGGTCAAGAAGAATAGCAATTAGAAATGCACTCTTCCATCCACCTCATTACAATAACGTTTCCTTTTATGGCTGAGTAATATTCCATTGTATATATGTGCCACATCTTCTTTATCCATTCATCTGTCGATGGACATTTAGCTTGCTATTGTAAATAGAGCTGCAATGAACACTGTGGTACATGACTCGTTTTGAATTATGGTTTTCTCAGGGTATATGCCCAGTAGTGGGATTGCTGGGTCATATGGTAGTTCTATTTTTAGTTTTTTAAGGAACCTCCATACTGTTCTCCATAGTGGCTGTATCAATTTACATTCCCACCAACAGTGCAAGAGGGTTCCCTTTTCTCTACACCCTCTCCAGCCTAGAATCTGTCATACAGAGTGAAGTCAGAAAGAGAAAAACAAATACCATATGCTAACACATATATATGGAATCTAAAAAAAAAAAAAGGTTCTGACAAACCTAGGGGCAGGACAGGAATAAAGACGCAGATGTAGAGAATGGACTTGAGGACACGGGGAGGGGGAAGGGTAAGCTGGGATGAAGTGAAGGAGTAGCATGGACATATATACACTACCAAATGTAAAATAGATAGCTAGTGGGAAGCAGCCGCATAGGGAGATCAGCTCGGTGCTTTGTGACCACCTAGAGGGGTGGGATAGGGAGGGTGGGAGGGAGACGCAAGAGGGAGGAGATATGGGGATATATGTATATGTACAGCTGATTCACCTTGTTATACAGCAGAAACTAAAACACCATTGTAAAGCAGTTATACTCCAATAAAGAGGTTAAAAAAAAAAAAAAAAAAACTCTTCCAAACTCCCATCCTGCGTATTTCTCCGGTTCCCAAGAACCCAGTGGAAAAAAAAAAAAAAAAAAAAAAAGAATCTTATTCATGCCAAGTGAGCTGTTATCAGTTTGCTTATTGATTTTTATCCCCATGCTGTAAACCTCAAAATGCCACAGCCCCAGCTGGGATCCCACCAAACCCATTCCTTTACTTATCCTTTCATTTTTCTTTTTGATCCTTGACAACTTCTCCCTGCACCCACCTTCCGGGAATTAACAATTGCCCATTCAATTTTCCCTCTCCTGTCTCTTTAAGTCAGAAACTTCCCTAGGTTCCTAAGCGCTGGCGGCCTCCGCAGGCGTTCAGGACTCCCAGCAAGTCTCCATGGCAGTGAGATTTGCAAGTGAATCTCCCCGATCTGAAAAAATAGCACCAGTTTCCTAAGCGATCTCTGACTTCCAGACATCTACAAGGGCACCAGTGGGTTTCAAGACATCCAGTGAACCAAGTCCGAGGACTGAAAAACCAAATCAATTGATAGTGGCAGCTCCGAAAAGGGAAAAGTCCCCAAACTGAACAAAATACAAAAGCAATATAAAATCCAACTAAAGGGCACACAAACAGCAGTGAAATGCTTTAAGATTCAAATGCCTACCTCACAGATTTCCCAAAGCTCTCCGCTCACACAGGCATCCGCCGTTGCCTCTGCTCTCTGGCTCCCCAAAAACTATGTTTTCTTAGCCTGAGCAACAGTCTTCTCAAGTGTCAGGCTCTGAAATACACATGCTACACACGCTCAGACAGCCTCTCCGTGCCAGGTAGCCCCTTCTCCTTCCTTCCCAGCCCCGGGCCAGCCCATGCCAATTCCTCGACAGGAGAGCAACTCCTCCATGGGATGGAACTGGGGAAGGGAAGAGCGCAGACAGGAGTTGGGGATCAATTTAAGTCACCAAGGACCGGGGGGCCACCCATCCAGGCGGGAAGGGTCCAGCTTATCCCTTTCCTAACCTTAAAACCCCTCCACAGAAGGTTTCTCCAGCCTCGTTCAGATCCCAGAACAAGTTGGCAGACTCCTCCTGGCGTCCCCGGCTCGCACCCAGACCCCTCCAAGGTGGCAACCCCCAGCCTGCAGGACGCGGATAGCTTCTTACCTTTACAAAGCCCTGGTTCTTAAAAGCCTGGCTGGAGCCTCCAAGGAGTCCTGCGTTTTCCTTGACATTGGAAGCCACCAGTTTCAGAAACAGGGCACATTTCTAAATGAAACAGAAAGTAACCCGGGAACCCAGGCCAGACCCCCGACCTGCACTTGGCTTTGGCTCTCCGTAGCCTCTATGAGTCCTGGGACTCAGCCAGCCCGCCCAGCTGTTTCAGCCCGGAGAGAATTCAGAGGAAACTGCAGCTTGCAAGTCTGGAACTCACGGCCTGGGCTTTGCTTTTTTTTGGAGTATTTGTTGAGCTTTTTAACATGCAGTTTGTCTCCTTCTGCAGGGAATTACTCAGTGAGCCTGTCACCTGACTCACAGCAGCTCCATTATATAATTCAAACTGTGTTACTTAAGTTCTGATCAGAAAACCACACTCCCCTTCCCCCGTCTCCCCTCCCCCGCTTCCTTGGCGTGGAGGGAGAGGCACTCAAAACACCAAACAATGAAAATTAATCTTTCTTGAAACTTCAGTGGAGGGCTTTCCCTGGCATTCCAGTGGTTAAAACTTCGCCTTCCAATGCAGGGGCTGTGGGTTCGATCCCTGGTCGGGGAGCTAAGATTCCACATGACCGGCAGCCAAAAAACCAAAAAAAAAACCATAAAAAAACAGAAGCAATATTGTAACAAATTAAATAAAGACTTTTAAAATGGTCCACATCAAAAAAATGTTTAAAAAGAGAAGAAATTTCAGTGGAGCTGCTGCATTTTTGCTGTGTATTTTTATTTCCCTTTGGTTTGATTTTTCTCCGGCAGAGGACTTCCTAAACGCCAATGCTGAGTTAGCAGGGATTTCTCAAGATGTAACATCTCAAGATGTAACTGTAGCAGTTTCCTTGACTTTCATTTAGGGTGGCTGTCTGCAGATGAGGTAAATCAGCCAGTGGGTTTGCAAATGACAGAGCAGATCATCAGTTGAACAGCCTCAAGTAGATTTATAGCACCTGTGCAAATGAACTGCAAAGCCTAGAACGTTCATTACTTTAGCCACAGTATCTAAGTTCCGTGAAATGTCTAAGGGGTAGATTGGGTTGACAGGTCTTTAGCCAACCCCCTGCCCTGACCTTAATCTTCCTAAACCCTCTCCAGCCACCTCAAATAAGCATAACATCCAACTGAAAATTGCATGCTTGCTATGCAAACACCGCTTAATGGCCACACCCCATTCTCTACTATCAACAATGTGGAAATCCTTAAGGCCAATCTAGATGGATATTTTGAAGCCAGCACTTGGGTGAAAGTAAAAAAATTATTTCAGTCCCATTTTCCCCTTCTTAGCACCTGTCATCTCTGTTCAGATGATATATATTGAGGAGCAAGTACGTTAAAACAGAATTGACCCACGAATGAGATCTTTGAGAAATTTAGGTGGCATAAATAAGCATAACATTTAAAGCACCATGAAATAATCAACATTAAAAAACTCCAACCTGTTTGCTTTTTCCATGTCAAAGCCAGATGAACTGTATGCCTTGGAGGATCTGGGCTCCCAGTCTCCTCCCAGCCAGTGGAGACATTGCTGAATATGGGATATACTCCAAAAGGGCTGTTAAAGTCTAGGGGAACAAATGCTAACATTGGTCACCTTCTTTTGGTTTTTCCTGGTCTGAGCTCTTTTCTCCCGTCTGCATTTCCTCACTCATATCTACCCAAGGAAATTACCTTGTCTTTCCCGCCAGACTCCAGCAGCGTACTAACAGTAGATACCATTGCTATATTAAACTGTGTGACGTTAGACTGATACTGTACCCAAAGAATAGCTTGCAAAATACTTTGTAACTATCTATCCACATATCCCTCTGAAGCGGGCATGGGGTAATTATTATTCTCTTTGTCCAGACCCAAAGAAAGCCAGTAATATAGGTGAGAATTAGAAGTCAAGTTTCCTACTCTCAGAGCCCTATTTTACAAAGGAAGACCAAGATACACATGAAAAAGCAAAAACAAAAACACATGAATGTGTAAACCTGAATGACAGATTGATGTCTGTTTATACCTTTCTCTCCAGGTGTGGTAAATACAATGTATTGTGGCAGTTGCTATGGTAACCACTTCTTTCTTAATGAGAATAAGGCTACACAGTAAAATATTAGAAAACATCAGGTGGTGAGTGTGGTGCTCCAAGGACAATGGTGCTTTAAGGACAAAGGACAATGCTGCCTGAAAAAATGTCAGCGTCAGCGTCTCACACCCCATACCGGACTCCCTGCCATGTTGTGATGGTTACAAAATTCCTGAGCCCACCTGGGTGATGGGACCTGTCCCAAATAAGGAAAGGCATCTGCCCTGTCCCACTCCCACCCTATAGAAGGAAGACATATGTGCCTCGACCAATTGGTAAACGAAAATTTCATCTCAGACCATTCCTTTGTTTTCTGGCTATAAAAACTGATCAATACCACATGTTCAGGTTCGTCTCTCCCAGACTACTAGGAAGTCGGCCTGCTGTTCTGACAGGGACCCTTCCCTCTAATAAATTCGATCTTCTTTACATTCTGCCTAGTGTCTGGAAATTCTTTTCCAACCCACGTTCGGACCACAACAGTGAGACCCATACTAGTAATGGGAAGAAAAGCAATAACGCAAAATATACCTTTGGTCTGAATATAGTCCTTCAATATTGACACTGCAAAAATCAAATTTCCTAGACCAGTGTTGTCCAACAGAAATACAGTATGAACCACGTATGTAATTTAAAATTTTCTAGCTGTTGCGTTAAAAAAGAAAAAAAACTGGTGAACTTAATTTTGGTAATATATCTGCTTGACAAACACCAGCTGTCCAGCCCAGGGGCCCATCTACCTCTTACCTCAAATCCAATATATTCAAAATATTGTTTCAGACTTCCCTGGTGGCGCAGTGGTTAAGAGTCTACCTGCCAATGCAGGGGACACAGGTTCGAGCCCTGGTCCAGGAAGATCCCACATGCCGCAGAGCAACTAAGCCCGTGCGCCACAACTACTGAGGCTGCGCTCTAGAGCTCGGGAGCCGCAACTACTGAGCCCACGTGCTGCAACTACTGAGCCCACGTGCCACAACTACTGAAGTCCGCGCGCCTACAGCCTGTGCTCCGCAACTAGAGAAGCCACCTCAGTGAGAAGCCCGCACACCACAACGAAGAGTAGCCCCCGCTCACCGCAACTAGAGGAAGCCCACGCACAGCAACGAAGACCCAACGCAGCCAAAAATATATAAATTAATTAAAAATTTAAAAATCTTTAAAAAATATTGTTTCAACATGTAATAATATAAAATTATTAACAGAGTATTTTATATTCTTTTCTTCATACTAAATCTCTGAAATCTGCTATGAATTGTGTGTGTTTTACACTCACATCACATCTCAGTTAAGAGTAGCTACATCTCAAGTGTTCAATGGCCACAAGGGGCCAGTGGCTACCACATTAGATGGCCCAGCTTCACGCTATATTTGGTCATTTTGGCTTAAAATTTGTTCTGTGAGTACACATTTGTCTATCTCTACTTGGAACTTTTAGAAAAATGAATTGCATTTATTTGGTTCTAGCTTTATGGCATAATTCAAGTGGTGTCGTCTTGGGTGGAACAAGAAAATATCAAATAACTTGGAATTGAAAGATTCAGCTTCTTTTGTGCCACCAGAGGATCGTGAAGATTAAAAAAAATAAACCTCAGGTTTATAAAAAGTTCCTTCCTTGGGTTGTCGCAATTGCCCAAGTTAGGGACCTCAGAGTCATGCTGACTGTCCTTTCTATGTACCCGCTCTCTCTGCCCTCTTCTATCAGCCCCTCATTGTTTTTCAAGTCTGAGGACTTCTGCGATAATCTAGATGAACCCAAGAACTCGTGCCTGGTCTCCCTGCCTCCACTCTCCACCCATTCAAGTTCATATTCTATCCTGCCTTCAGCGTAAACATGCACTGAAAGCAGACATTAATCATGGAGCTTCTCAGGACTTCCCTGCTGGTCCAGTGGGTAAGACTCTATGCTGCCAATGCAGGGGGGCCCAGGGTCGATCCCAGTTCAGGGAACTAGATCCCGCACGCATGCCAAAACTAAGAAGTCCGCATGCTGCAACAACGATCCCGTGTGCTGCAACTAAGACCTGGCACAGCCAAAATAAGTATTAAACAAAAAATTCATGGAGCTTCTCAGCTTAAAGCCTTTAATAGCAACCTGCTAACTTTCAAATAAAATCCATACTCCTTGTCACGATATAAGGCAATCATCAACTGGCCTTCTGGGAACTTTCTGGCCCATCTCCTGGCTAAGCATTCTTTAATTTTACCCAGGTCTACATTCTTGACTGTGCCATGATTTCCATGACTCCATGACTTTGTTTAAAGTCTGTTCCTTCTGCCTGGAATGTCCTTCCTTAAAATGCCTACCACTTACCAAACAGCAAAATCCATCCAGCCTAGCTCCAATAATTACTGTAGCTTTCCTTGATCTTGCAAAATTAACAGCCAACTCATCTATGTTATCATGGCACTTTTATAAATAGATGTGTTATTACATTTATCACGTTCTATTATAATTATATGCTATGCTAGACAAAGATTTCCTCAAGAAGGGAAACCACATACCACTTACTTTTGAATTCACCTTGGGACATAACAGGATCTCAATAAATGCCTAAGGAATTCCAAGACTCTTTTCTTTCCATTTCTCCTTCTAATTGTCTAACCACATGGTACGTCATCACCATCATTACCATCATCATCATTACATAGCAGCCAATATTTATTTGCACTGCTGTGCACCAGACACTGTGTTACGCATTTTACATAAATTTCATTTAATTCCAACAACAAATCTACGAGGTAGGAACTTAGCCTCGATTTTTAAAAGCGGTGGTATCTTGAATGCCATTTCATTCTTTCAACAGGTGTTTTAAGGTCATTCTTAGAAACACTGGTTATGACAAGTAGATATGCA